AGCGTGGCGGAGTTCAGCGGCCGGGGGACAAGGACCGCTGCTCGACCGACAAGGCGCTCCGCCGCCCCCCTCGCTGCAGGACGAGCCCCGAGCGCTTCCGCTGCCACCCGACAACGCTTTCCTGCCACCGGACCACTTTCGCATGCCTCCGCCGAAACGATGGCCCCGTTTACGAACGCGCCTGGCCCTGAGAAAGCTGGCATGGTAGTGAGCAGGGAGGCAGACTCGGTGCCAGTGAACCTCTGGCTCATATGATCCGAGGAGTGGAGGTCGACTGGGCCATTAAATTAAATAATACCGTCAAGGAGCAACGTGAACTTTCATAGAAATCGTCTGTTTTGCCCGTCACATCCGACGCATAAATTCCTACACGAATTATCGAGATAGTACGCGATCCGGTTTATCGCGCTCCAGGGCGCACATTGCTAAGTATGCAAAGCGCGACCTTAATAGATTGCCATGTTCAGATTGCCCAGCATGTACAGCGGTGTCTATTGTGAACTATATTCTTACGTGTAATGATGTTTGCTTTCTTTTTTACATAACTGTTGATGTGCAGTCAGGCACTCGGAAGTGAGTGCCAACATATCGATCAGTTTTCGCAGTACCGCTCAGTTAGCGCGAACAAGAAATAGCAGCTTCAGCATTTTTCTTGCAACAGTTTATATATTTTACAGAAATTTTAGTGTGCTGGCATGTGCTAAAGAAAAAAAAAAAACTACAATGGCTGTACAATTTTGTGTTTGTCACTGGCTGGTGCCGTAGAGTCCCAGGTATATGGTCGTTTTCATCTCGATTCATACACGGTTTTGGGGCTGAATTTTTAATTTTTACCAAAAAATTATATATGCTTGGGAAAGCATTCTTGGGGGAAAAAAAAAGAGCACAACCGGTAAGCTTAAAGAATTTTTTCTCTCTCGAGTTATTAACTATTTAACTGGCCGAGGCGAAAGCTGGCGCTTCTCCCACGTGTTTAAAGGGGCGATGCAACGATGTTTGTACTTTGCGCAAATGCCACTTAGAACGGATCCCTGACGTTAATGACCTATGAAACACGTGTTCGTTTTTCACCCCACGCAATAGAAGTCTAAGAAAAAAAATTAAACAAAAACGAGCAGCTTTCACCCCCTCAACTCGCAGCCAGAACAAGCAGCCACGTGATCGGGAGCCGATTATATGCCGCCAATGTTGATCATAGCCACGCGCTGAGGTTGGCGAAGCACAGGACACGCGCTGAGTTCCAGACATTGTTATGGCTCGGCTATTGTCGTCGTTGCAGAGAATGGACACGGGCCGCTACCCAAATGCTTCTCGAGCTAGTAATTATCACGAGCCCAAATCGAGTGCCCACGCAATGCTCGGGTCCAATCTATGAACAGCATTCGAATATCGTCACTGGGGTGTACTGCGATCCCCACGTTACGTCATCAAATTTTGAAAAAGAGAGATTGAATGAAAATGATCGCTTTTGTCTTTGAAATTACACCGCAACAAATGAATTTCTTGGCCAGTGGCGTTGCGTGCTTGAGTCCCATTAGTGCCAGTAAGCTCGTGAAAGTGAAAAAAACATTCCAGGGTTAATATTCTTGCACCGCTCCTTTACCCACTCGCTATTTTGTTTTTCCAACATAAAGAACGATGACATCGTTGTGACACTTTTCAAATGAATATGATCAAGCGCAAGAACACGAAAATGAAACGTGTAGATTATTCTTGAAATGGAATGCTCATAGGCCGCATACTACATACACCAAGTTTCGCAATATTTAGAGCCCTAGTAATTTCAATAATAGATTTACGAATGTTTATCATTTTAGTCTGGCGACCAGGCAACACGTCACAAGTTAGTCACCACCATGGTGCCCATAACCACCTGATCTTAAAATTTACTTGAACAGTCTCTAATTTTAGACACCCCCATGGTCGCCCAAGCTCGCCTCGCCACGGTACGATCACTCTACTTGATTACTCCAGCGCTACTCTCACTCTCTCTCTCTTCGCACGCCTTGCGCTTTGACCTACCACCCTGCATGCACGTGCGAAATCGTCGCGGAAGGTGGCGATTACGTCCGTGACGATCTCGTCGCCGTTGCTGGAGCTGGTTGCCAGCAAGTCGAGGTTAAAATGACCAGCTCCCAAACTATCTTGACAACAAACACTCTCGCCGCTTCTGCTGCGATCAGTATTAAAAACTCCGACGAAACGAGCGATGCCGTATAGCAAAGTAGAAATTTGGGCTAGTTGGTTCATGATCAGTGTATACAGCGCCAAAAAACGACAGGACAAAGACCTCGTCCTGTTTACTCTCGTCTTTGTCCTGTCGTTTTTTGGCGCTGTATATACTGATGCCGTATAAATCATCATGACCTATACGGCATCGCCCGTTTCGCCGGAGTCTTCAAGACTGATCGCAGCAGAAGTGGTCATCGCCTCGAAACCGCGTGCTCAAAGCGCGGAGCGTAAACGAGGAAGCTGAAGCGCGAGACGCCGAGAGACCCAAGTCCGCGAGTGCGGGCAAGGGGACGCCGCGTGCTGGACGAATGACGTCACCGACCCAACAAAGATGGCGGCCTTCCCGAATGGGATGGATTCGAGGGTCCTGCATATGAATCGATTTAGCTAGAAAACTGTCGCGCCATTGATTAAATAAAAATTAGCATAAATAGAGGAGCATACAATGAACCATAGCACTATAGTTACCTCATCTTTTTATTTTTTTATTTTTGACGTGTCCTAGTCCTTTTAACAAATTGAACAATGTCTTATATTTTGGAAGAATTAAGAAAAATTTGGAATTGTGTTCTTTTGATGATTTTCAGCAAATGTTTGGAAAGTTTGCAAGAAAATTACGGATTTCTTTTCTCAAACCCTACGTATTTTTTATTTGCTGCGTTTTTTTATTTGTAGCAAGGTATAATAATGATTTATTAGAAATTAGAAATATAATAAATAGTATTTTGTTTATATGACCGCAATTAAAGTATGAACCTTGTCAGATGTGCGTTGTAAAACGGCAAGCTTTGTTGCGGAGTAAAATATTTTTTACTCCGCATTACGCACTTTTTGTTATTTTTAAGGTTACGTGTTAATTAAAGTATTAATGTTAGCTAACTTTCTGTACCACGCCACGATGTCGGCCAGAATAGCACATATGCGAGGACGCAGTCACAACAAACAACTGACAAGATTCAAGTTTTTATTGCGGTCATATACGCAAAATACTACATTTTCTGTTTATATTTTTTCATAAACCTCAATTATAATTTGCTACCGATAAAGCCCGAAGTAAATAAAGAATGAGCTTTCGAGAAAATCGGTCCCGGCGTTGCTGGATTTTCGAAACATTCGTTCATTCAAATGTATGTAATATATTTTATTTTAAACATATGATATTGAATTGTATTCAATAAAGAGTTTTGGGTTTCCCTGTAATGTCAAGGAATTAAAAAATCTTAAGAAGGCCACCCAAAATCAATGCTAAAAAACGTTTATTTTAATTCAGAATTTGATTTTAAAACCGTGCATGATTGAGAGGAAAACACCAATATACTGGACCCACCCTTCGACCTGCCTCACGTTTCAGTGTCCGCTCAAACATGGCGGTCAGCCAGCCAAACCTTGGCAATGACCCATGCACACTGAACTACAGCACGAACGTGCAAGATGTGCTACGGACAAGAGGGCGATGTTCGCTTCGGGGGCGACGCATTCGCATGCTCCAGACTCGCGCCTCGGATGTGATTCGATCGATTCCTTGCTCTCCTTGGACGCAGTTATCATCGTCGCTGGAGCCGCATGGCAATGAGGTCCAACGAGGCCGCCATCTATCACCCGACCGCAGGCCGGGCCCCCGGGACGCTCCTCGACCCGGCCTCAGCCCTTCCTCGACGAACGTCCGTGACACAGAAAAGGCGGCGCTTATCTGGACGTTGTCGGTCCCTCGTGCAGCTTGCGAGACCCTTGAGCCGCCCGTGGGGTGACGCACGACTTAGCGAGAGGAGTACGCGCACGAAACGTCGGTTTCACTTGGTGGAGTCTCACAACAAGGACCGCCGAGCGTGCATGGTGAAGTAGGGTGCTCGGCTAGGGGATATGAATGGCTTATATCGCAGTGGGGAATCGGCGTTTTGAGGGTCTGAGTGCAAGGTCCTGGAAGACAGCCAACTGTTCCACGTGTAGTCCAGCAGCAGCTTTCTTTTATGATCGGAAGGCTGAGCCGAAGCCAAGCTAGACGAATGCAGCGCAAGATTACGTAACCAGCCAGATAACTGAACACGGGGCCTTCTTCCGATAGCTGATCCTGGGCATCAAGAACTATACTGCAATTCGTAAGAAGTTAAAAGTAGACGTGCATAGCTTTAATCGGGGCTCAAAGTGCATGCGCGTACGGGCGCCAACAGCTTTGCCTGCATTGTTTAGCTGTTTCAACAGGCTGACTTAGTTTGCATCCAGGTGGTTTGTGTGCAGTGCTACCTAAGGCACAGGCGCGCGAGCATTTCTGCGACGTGGTTTCTGTTCGCGGGAACTCGTAATAACAAAGCACAATTTGAAGACACGCGCCTGTTCCTGCCTCGGCTCTGTTTGGGACTCTCGAGATGGATTATAGCGGAACATCTCTGAAGTACAGGTTTAATCCACAGGGACAGTCGTATTGTAATGCCAGAGCGAGAAAGAGCTTTTTCTCTGAAGCGAAGAGGAAACAACGGATGCCCCCGACGCGAAAACATTTCCCCGGCGACGTCTAAAACAAACGCTGAATGACGGCCACGAGCATTCCTGCCGCATTCCTCCTGCCCTTTCAATGAGAAACGGAAGGCAGTGCGTTCCGCTTGGCCTCTCTCTTCGGTGCCTCCCTCCCCTCCACACGCAAATATTAAAAAGAAAATAAAAAAAATACGAAGGGCGAAAAAGCTTGGATCCCTTAGAACTTTGGAACGACGACGACGTCGGACAATGCGTTCCTTGAGCCTCGGTGCGCGAGCGTTCACGGCGAGACTCACCTGAAGCCGGTCCATGTCATCCGCGTCATGGAGTCCTCGAGGGCGAGCAACGCACTTCGTCTGGATTCCACCGCAGACCGTTCTGGTGGGCCCCTCGGTGCCGGTGGTCGCCGGGGCAAGGGAAAGTGCGTCAGCTCTCGCCGCTCTCGCCGCCAGAACTCACCTGTGGCCCACGAGAAGGCGGCACCTGTCGTCCCCCCTGGATAGAGAGTCCAGATCTAAGAGAATGAGCAACTAATACCATAGATAGATTTCGCAATTTAATGGTGGACGCCTCCTGGGAAAATTGGTTGTAAGTGTGCATACATTGCGTTGTCGCGTGGCGAAGAGGAAAACGGGCGGAAAGGTACTTGCACACGATCAACGCTCTTGCCACCTCCTCGCAGCTCGCATTGCGAGCGCGGCCCCTAAAACCACGTGACCCGATCGAGCAGTTGTAAGCACACTGTATTCTAGGCACGCATCCTCCTGGCCGTGTCGGCCCTGTCTGCTGCAGGCCCAGCCAGCCAAACTCGGAAGAAGAAAGAAGAGCGCCACGCCGGAGGATGCGACCGCGGAAATCGTGTCAAGGCAAAGGAACGCCACTGAAATCCAGCGGAAAACCGGATAGACGCAGACATTCTCATCTCCCTGGGAAAGCCGCGACAAGATTCGCTTTTTTTGGCTCGCGACCTGCCGCACGAACGGGAAGTGAAACCGTGAAACATTTTAGAAGACGAGCGCTTGTTCCGCTTGCCTAACTTTCTTTCCCTTGGCCTCACCCGCGTCGAGAAGCTTGTTTTCTTTTTCCGGGAATCCGCTAATGACCCGGTTGTACCTGCTTTTTATGCCGTGACCCCATCGTACGACTTGTGGTTATCCTTTATTAATTGCCAGCTGAAAAGTCCGGCCTCAGTTTGGGAAGGGAAAAAGACAACTTCACCTTTCTTGATATGCGTAAGGGAGTACTCCGTATCCAAGAACTATTTATTTGAGTCTATTGAGTCATCCGATCACCGTCTTTGTGTCCGTGTCAGTGTCCGTGTTTGTGCTGATAAAGACTTTGCGGACCGCCCAATAAGAGCGTCACGGCGTTGCTGATGACAGCGCTCTCTACTTTGCGAGAGGTTCTCAGTCATGTTTCATGAAGGATAATTAGATGGCTGGACCTGGCCGCACACCTCTTTCTTGGCTCCTGGCTGTCTAAGAATACATTTATACCGCTGATATATAATTACAGGTTTTTTTTTTTTTTATTCTTTTAGATTTGTTAAAAAAAAGCCCAGAAAGCTACACTTATGCGGTTTGTGCAGCTGAGTTTTACGGCCAGGGGGACATAGTATAGGGAGATAGTCGCAACCATCAGTCGGCTAATTAGGTAAAATGTGTTAATTGACTTTTTAATTATTACAAATAGATATATAGTTTCAATTAGAAACTTGCTGAGCATCATCGAAAACCCCTAAATTAACTCTGCTTAGAAGGATATAATGCCGGGGCAACATTTTATGGCGTTCTGTAAAAACGCTTCATTCGGACGCGTTTCTAGATTTCGGTTTCTTATCGGAGCGCAACTACGCGCTTGTGGTCCTGCTCCCCAGTGGCTGAGACGCGCAACACACGTGCGCCCTACTTCCCTCCACTGTACGAGGGAGGCGAGGGGGTGGCTTCGTGTCTCGACCACCGGGGTGCAGGACCGCGGGCGCAAAGGTACGATTGAAATCTAGAAACGAGCCCAAAAGAGTCCAAAAGAAACGTTTTTACAGAACGCCGAAAGATGCTGTCCCGGCGTTATATTCTTCTAAAAAGAGTTGATTTAGTGGTTTTCGATGATGCTCAACAAGTTTCCAATTGGAACTATATGTCTATTTTTAATAATTGAAAAATTAATTAACACATTTTACTTAATTAGCCAAATGATGGTTGCGACTGTCTCCCTGTACTATGTCCCCCTGGCCATATAACTCATCTCCACAAACCGCATAAGTGTAGCTTTCACAGCTTTCTTAAAGGAGCGGTGCAACGATATTCAATTGGAATGTTTTTCACTTTACACGAGCTTACTGGCACTAATGGGACTCGAGGATACTCGCACGCAACGGCACTGACCAAGAAACTCCTTTGTTGCGCTGTAATTTCGAGGACAAAACCGAGCGTTTTCATTCAATCTCTCCTTCGCAAAACCTGATGACGTAGCTCGGCGGTAGCAGTACCGCCCAGTGACGATATTTGAATGCGGCTTATAGATTGGACCCGAGCATTGCGTGGGCACTCAATTTGGGCTCGTGATAATCGACAGCCCGAGAAGCATTCGGGTAGTGTCCTGTTTCCAATCGCTGCAATGACGACAACAGCCGAACCATAACAATGTCTGGAACGCAGCGCGTGTCCTATGCCTTGCCAACCCCAGCGCATGGCTATGATCAACATTGGCGGCATATAATCGGCTCCAGATCACGTGGCCGCTTGTTCTGGCTGCGAGTTGAGGGGATGACCTCTGCTCGTTTTCCTTTATTTTTTTCTGTGACTTCGATTGCGTGTGGTGAAAAACAAACGGGTATTTCACAGGTCATTAACGTCAGGGATCTGTTCTAAGCGGTATTTGCGCAAAATACAAAAATCGTCCCATCGCCCCTTTAAAACAAATCTGAAATAAATATATATAAAAAAAAACTTGTATGTATATATATATACATAATGGCGGGGGGCCGAAGGCGTGGGTATATAACTGAGAAGAAAAGAAAACCCTTGGTGAAAACAGCAACAACCGACGGTTTATTCGACGTTTTGGCCGGAGTCCGGCCTTCGACAGGAAGACTATATATATATATATATATATATATATATATATATATATATATATATAGAGAGAGAGAGAGAGAGAGAGAGAGAAAGGGGAAAAGGTGATTATTGAATTTATTGCATTAAAGTTAGGGAAAGGGAAAGAGAGTTTGCGAAAAATTGGGCCAGGAGTGGGGATTGAACCCGCGGCCTTCGCTTGTTCGAGTCCGCCGAAACCAGTGGCCGGGATGGTCTAATCGGTTAAGCAGTGGTCGGCAACCAGCGGCCCGCGGGCCGGATCCGGCCCTCGAGGTAGTTTCATACGGCCCTCAGCCTCCCGGTAACCCCCCCCCCCCCTCCCCCCTACGCAGTCAGCTAAAGAAAAAATAAAAAAATAAAGTTGACTACTGCCCGTCTGCGAGCAGACTTTTTCACGAATGAAGTGCATAAAATCCAACTTCCGCTCACGAATGACTGACGAGAACCCCCACAATGTTTTGCGACCCGCAGTTAGCAGCTTGAATGTGGATGTTCGTAGTTTGGCGAGCGCAGTTCAACACCAAAAGTCTCACTGAGAGGAGTCTCTACGTTTTCGGGTAAATGTCGTATCTCATGTTGTTTGTCGTGAAATAAAGAAACTGTTCATTTTCAATTTATGTACGTCAATGTAAGTTCGTGCAAGTGCTTTGTTTTAACTTTAACTCCCCCCCCCCCCCCCCCCCCCCCTGCTTGCCGTCCGGCCCGCTCCGCCTAGGCTTCGCCGCGACTCGGCCCGCTTCACCAAAAGATTGCCGACCACTGGGTTAAGGCGTCGCCCCGGACAGGCGAAGGTTGCGGGTTCAACCCCGCTCCTGGCCCAATTTTTCGCCAGCTCTCTTTTCCTTTCCTTAACTTTAATCCCATAAATTCACTAGTCACCTTCTCCCCTCTTCGTTCACATATATATATACACGAATACGAAGTCACGTCGTGGCAAGAGCGAGCTCACCATTTCGTGTGGTAAAAGCAGTTGAGACAATAGGTATTTACACAGCGTAAGGTTGATATGTGATACTATGACAACACTAGCTGTCTGACGCTGTAGATGAGAAATTTAGCCAGAGAAGTAGCTCTGCCAGCCTGGGGGCTTCAACGTGCATCACGCAGTTGTTAGGGTTGCCCTACGGTATGGTGATTATTCAGATCAAAATGGGCGGGAGTAAAGATAGAATCCAAGACCCTCGGGCCCTGCTACTCATCATTTCGCTCCAGGTGCTCCGAGCTGCGGTGTGCTAACATGCGCTGCCTCCCCTTCTCTCCTGCTTTTTTTGTAGCCCACAATAGTTTACTTATAGTTTAGAAACTGAATGTTAATCCGAGTACGAAGTATGTGCAGATGCTGATCAATGTGGCAAAGCTCCTACAAGCAGACAGCAACACTATGGCACCCTGGATACAATTCGCTTACAATTTAAATTGCACAAAGATTGTAACAAGACAGGTAAACTTCCAACCTCTACACTTAATGTATAGAGCACCGTCAGAAACAAAAATCTCAATATAAGTAACGCGCAAACCATACAGAAAGAATTCCCTTAGCATGAAAATTAAGGGCCACTTTTCTGGCCAAAAGAACCAATCACGCCTAAACGTTTCCATGAACTTTCTATGCATCTTTTTAAAGACCTGACAGCTCTTCATTCAGGCTTGTTGCGTACTGCTTGATGAATACTGTGTCTGAAATTTTTGTAACTGTATACATTTCACTCTAGTCAAGCATGTTTGAAAGGGTATACGAGGCAGTCTTGTCGAGACGTGTAGGTATGATGGCCCCCTAACAAAACAGAAGCAAACGAAGAAATCGGGGCAGTTTAGTTTGATGGAACCACGAACGTTTTAAATCTTAATTAAAAAGAAACACTTTGGCGACCCCATCTTTCAAGTGTTCTCCAGAAGTTTTGTCTCGTCCTTCGTCGAGCTTTCCTGGCGCGCAGACAGAGGACAACTGGTTTTCTTATTTCGTGTAACTAAAGACTACTAACCATTAAATTCCCGGAAACCTGGGTGTTCCAAGAACACACGTAACTGCATCGCGAGTCAGGGCAATAGCGGAACGCGTTTCGGTAAGAGGTAGCGAGCTCCGGGAAAGATGTCATGAATGAGAATGTAGAGATACGCTTCTGGTTCCTGAAGGTCGATTTGACGATATAACAGCCTTTCGTGGTGAAATTCTGCTGCAAATACAGAGTGTCAAACGTTTTCGCATCACACGAACCACGAGATCAAGCCTGCGGTCACATCCCAGGGGTTTATCCCAGATTGGCAATCTGGGGAGACTTAAACCTGATTCACATGATGCGATTGTACTTGCGATTTCTTCCATTGCAAAGTCTCTCGTGTGGCAAAAATTAAAAAAATGAAAAAAGCCTGGTGGAAGTTGGACCGCCCGGCGTCACAGCTGCGAGTTCACACGCAATATCACGCCATCTGGATCGGGCTTGACACATTTCTTATTGATTTGGATTCAGGGAGGGGGGGGAGGGGTGGAGATTGTTAATTGTACTGAGCCTTGGGGTGT